AAATATTCTTTCATATATAATTTTTTCACTTCCCATTTCATGCACCTGTTCTTGAAGAATCTTGGGAAGGCTCCCACAAAGCTCTCAGAAAACCTCCAGACATACTTATAGAGTCAGAGATCCTGAAGCAGAGCTTGTCCTTGGGTACAAGGAAGGCCTTGTGGTACCTTTTAAAGAAAAAGACTGAAGAGAGGTAGACGTTAGCTTTGGAGAAGCTGCAAAGAAATACTTAACAGGTAATTAAGCAGCAGGTGCATTTGAGTCTATTCTGAGGCAGCAACCCTTGTGTATGCTCTAGAAGGCTCCAGAAGGTTTTCAAGGCTTCAATCTTTTAGAAGTAATCACAGGCAGTTCAAACCCATCAGCTGCTCCTTGGAGGAAAGATGTGAGAGTTACAGCTTCTGAAAACTTACTGTAGGGTCAGCTATGAGTTGCTTCTGCCTTGATGATTATGAGTTATTGATCCTCATTAGTTAAGTGACATCAGTACTGCTTTACAAGATTTTTGTTTGTTTGTTTCTTCTCATTAACTAGTTCATTTTAAGTGATGTTGTGGTAAATGGGTAGCAGAAGGAATCATCTTTAAACAATTCTTCCTATGCTTTTCATGGTATGCTTTTGTAGATTTTTTTTATGGTCTGTGATTAGGATTTTTTTTTAACATTTGATAAGAATCTTCAGATTCTTCTTCTAAGATAACCATGGATTGAATGAAATTTGTGTTTCTCCCTTTAATCTTTTGGCAGGCTATTAATTGACATTATTTCCTTAATATTTTTCCCCAAAAGTGAATAGAATCACATGCCCTGCTTTCAAGATTTTCTTCAAAAACAAAAACAAAACAAAAAACTTTGAATCTTTAAATCTTCTTTCAAACAATACAATCACAAAAATATGGAACGCTTCACAAATTTGCATGTCATCCTTGTGCAGGGGCCATGCTAATCTTCTCTGTATCGTTCCAATTTTAGTATACACGCTGCCAAAGCGAGCATGAGATTTTAATCTTTACAAAAGCAGATTGTAGTCCCACAGAGTGACGTGTGGTCATGAACTGCAGACCTTCCAGTTAGCAGCTGAGCTTTTAACCATGCACCACCAGGGAGCCTTAGATACTCCTGAGACCTGTGCATCTCCATTTCCTTCCCACGTTCACTTGATGAGCATCTCCAAGAACCAGATGGGTTAACTTGGGAGCTGCTTCAGCACAC